TAAAATAAAAAAACCCACTCATGATACAATACAATCACCGAACATAATCCCTAATATCCTTTCTCTACCGCACGTCTCTCTTCTCCACCACCGTGATTTTCTTCTTCACCGGCCGTCCAGGTAGTTCTCCTTCTCTCCTCCTCGGCTGCTGCTCCTATTCTGTTTGCTCTGTCCTGTCCTCTTCCCCGGATGAACAATTTTGTTCAGTTTCCTTCATAAATAGGATAGTGCCATCGACCAGGTAGTTATTTTGCTCTAATAATAATAAAACAAAGCTAATCTATAAAATAATAGATAGATAGAGTAAATACGATAGTGCCACCGCCTGTCCCCTTACTTTTTTATGTTGTTTATATTCTAATATAATAATTAATAAAGATAACCTATAATATAATAAACTAATATTAAAAATGTAATTAAAATATAAATAGGATAGTGCCACCGCCTGTCCCCAACTCCCCTCACCTTAGGGTAAGCGTCTCCCACTGTTTTTTTATTCTTTGTTAATTTGTGTGGACAACACTTGATCAAAACTTTCCCAACTCTTTTCTTATTTCAAAACAAATTTGCTAATATTTTCTTTTAAACTTTTATTAATATACTCGTATTAACTTTAAAAACAAATCAGTATAATTTATTATTTATACTAAGAAAAGATATAAAATATTAACTAAATCAGAATTTATATATTTTTTAAATAAAATAATAAGAGATTTCATTAATTTACTTTGAAATTAAAATTATTCATTATATTTATATATAATACAAACAGCGCGCCTCGCATACAAAAGGCGCGCCTGCTCCTTGCGCCTTTTGACTAGGCTCCAGGTACCTTTTGCACCTCGGTGCGCCTTTAAAAACCAAGTCTGTGTTAGACATTGGCATTTATTGTGATCATGTTTGCCTTGGTCCCATATAACTATTTCATTTTCTTTTAGGACAAATTTTAGTTTAAATCACCCTCTATTATATGTTTATTCAATAGTTTAGTGCTTCTGTTGATCTTTTTTTGATGCATGATGCTATCGGCATGACCTATTCCTACCCTCTGCTTGTAACTTATGATCCTCAACAAACTTAGCCTTGCTACAGATCGACTTCCTTTCATTGTATCAAGATTGTGTTTCCTTTTTTATTTACCATTTCTTTTGATGCAGAGTTACTGCTGTAGATGGTCAGTACCAAATTGGAATCTATGCTCTACGTTCAATACGATATGGAGAGGAGATTACATTTGATTATAACTCCGTTACAGAGGTTTGAATCTTCTGTCCTTCCAACAAGACAATTCTTATTTTCTTACGGCTCATGATTGATACTTATCTTATCAGAGCAAGGAAGAATATGAAGCATCAGTCTGTCTCTGTGGTAGTCAAGTTTGCCGTGGCAGCTACTTGAATTTGACTGGTGAAGGTGCATTTCAGAAGGTATACATTTTTCATAGAGGTTTTTTTTTTTGAAGAAAAAACAAAATTGATAATTCTTTATTGCATACAAAAAGAAAAAATTATATGTTCTTTATTGCCTACTGTTGAATCAGTTTAGTTTTTCTCGTTTGAGTTTCAAAAATGTTATTATAAGAAATATGATGTTCATAAGGTACTGAAGGAGTGGCATGGTATACTTGATCGACAACAGCTAATGCTAGAAGCTTGTGAACTAAATTCTGTATCTGAAGAAGATTACCTTGAGTTAGGGAGGGCTGGCCTAGGCAGCTGTTTGCTTGGTGGATTGCCTGATTGGTTGGTTGCATACTCAGCCCGTGTGGTATGTCCTTGATTTGCTCTCATGTCATTTTATTACCTTGTTTTTGGGGCTCCTGACGTCTCTTTTCTGGTGTAGGTGAGGTTTATAAATTTTGAGAGAACAAAGCTCCCTGAGCAAATTCTAAGGCATAATTTGGAAGAGAAGCGGAAATACTATATAGATATATCTCTTGATGCAGAGAGGAACGATGCTGAGATTCAGGTATGTTACTGTCTTTGTGCCTTTCCTCATGTCTGCTTATATTTGTTTGAAGCTTTTATGGTTACTATTAAAATTTAAATGCTCATTGTATACTTCTCTGTGAATGAGATAGGCTGAGGGCGTCTATAACCAGAGGCTTCAGAATTTGGCTATAACTCTTGACAAGGTGATTACCCTCTGTCTCTGAATAACATATTTGGCTGTAACTTTTGTTCAAATAATATCCTACATAATAAAATACGGTCACGTGTAATATGATGGGGCATATAGTAATCTGTACTTCAACCTGGTGTTTATTATTTTGAAGAGCTAAGCTTCAAAACGTTTAAGTTTTAAACTTTTTGGAATTCATGGATTACTCCTGTTTCCATTTGGTCTAATGGTTGGATGGTAGTCATCTTAATTTTTTTGAAATCATTACATTGCAGTTAATGATATAAAATTATGTAGAGGCTAATCCTGTATTATGATAATTTTATATACATGCTGATCATATTATGTTAGTATCCTTATATTATCATCATTGGTGCTGTTTCAGGTGAGGTATGTAATGAGATGCGTGTTTGGTGACCCCAAAAAGGCTCCACCTCCAATAGAGAGGCTCAGTCCTGAAGAAGCTGTATCCTTTCTCTGGAAGGGCGAGGGATCACTTGTTGAGGAGCTTCTTCAGTGCATGGCTCCTCACGTGGAAGACGAAATGCTCAATGATTTGAGGTCCAAAATTCAAGCCCATGACCCATCACGGTCTGACAACATTAATAAAGAACTTCATAAATCTTTGTTATGGTGAGTGCATTGTCCTTGTTAAAGGTGTTCCCATGCTGTTTGATTTCAGTATAGACTTGATCTTTAATCATTTTAATGTTTTGAAGGTTGAGGGACGAGGTTCGGAATCTCCCGTGTACATACAAGTGCCGGCATGATGCTGCAGCTGACTTAATCCATATTTATGCTTACACAAAGTGCTTCATAAGAGTTCGGGTGAGTCTTTTTACTTCTATTTATTCAGATAAACCCTTTTTTTGTGTGTGAAAAGGTAGAGGTGGCAATGTGAATGCTATTGTATTGTTTATCATTTGATGTATCAATCAATTTTATGGACAGGAATACAAAGCAGTAACTTCTCCCCCGGTCTACATTAGTCCTCTTGACCTGAGCCCCAAGTACTCTGACAATTTCACAGGACTTCAGGAATATTGCAAGACATATGGTGAAAATTATTGTTTGGGGCAGCTGATTTTTTGGTATAACCAGACCAGTGTCGATCCCGATAGCAGCCTGTTTAGAGTAAGTAGGGGTTGCTTGTCATTACCTCACATCGGTTGCTTCTATTCCAATGTTCAGAAGCCTTCAAAGCATCGTGTTTATGGCCCGAAGACTGTCAAATTTATGCTATCATGGATGGTAAGCTTCTTTCATCTATTTGTAATGATGAAAATGCGTCTTAAATTCTTTGAAAATCTAGTATTGAGGATACTCCGCATGCATTCAAGTTGATCATTCTGTAGATTACATGGATGCTTTTTTTTTACATCATTGCAGAATTTATTAGGTTATTGGAATTTCTAACTTGATTGTTATGTGAATTGGATGATGGGCTTTGATTATCGTCTGTCAATAGAAACCTGCACTGGTTTTCGGGAACCTCATGGTTACTGTTTTAATATGGTTCGTGTGCAGGGGAAGCAACCACAGAGACCATGGCCCAAGGACCGAATATGGACATTCAAAACGAGTCCGAAAATCTTTGGAAGTCCGATGCTAGATGCAGTTTTAAATAATAGTGCACTGGACAGAGAGATGATGCAATGGTTGAAGCATAGACCAGCAAAATTCCAGGCAATGTGGGATCGATGAGTAGGGGGCTTCGAGTTTTAGTTAGTTTGGGGGGAGCAGTAGGATTATTATTAGCCAATACGTTTGTAAATGTTTTTGGAATGATTCGTCAATTTTAGCTTTGGCAGCTACCCTTTCCCCTTTAGAGTGGTAGTTGGTAATCATTCCAAAACATCATTTCTTGTGCCCCGTTTTTTTCCTTCTCAATTCTTATGTACAGTTCTCATCTTTGTATTTTGTAATTATTTTCGTTTAGTATGGCCTAAGAAAATTTTTCCTTTACTCTTGCCTAATATATTAATATCATTCATTTTTACAATAGCAAATCAAGAAAATGGTGACAAGATTTCAATTCCACCACTCATTTTAACTCTTACAATCCTTTGCCTTCGGCTTACACAGTCACCGAGTTCAACAGCATAACTCTCTCACTCTCACCATCCTTTGCCTTTAGCTTACACTGTCACCGAGTTCGACAGCATCATCATCAACGATCTCGTTACCCTATAACCCAGGCTGGTTTAGCACCTCAATTCCTTGACCTTGACCTCTCCTGTTACTCCTCTGATACCCGAATCAAACAGCATCTTCCCCTCTGTACATGTCCCTGGCGTCCACCGCATCAACTCCCTAACTCAAACGTTCAAACTTCAATGCTCCTCGACCTATCATCTTGAACAGCGAGCTCACCCAAAAGCGTAGGCAAAAGCTCGGCGAGAAGGCCCGTTGTCTCCAAAAGCAAAAGCAAATGCTGTGGGCTAAGAAGATGGACACCCACACAGGAATCCAAGTACATGCGGTTCTTGCAGTTACAAGTCTCCACTCTCCAATCTATGCCCATCACTCCCAGTTTCTCATCGACTCAACATGTTAATGGCTGCTTTGATGGGCTGGGAAGGTTGAATCGGCAGCAGCTTTTGCAGGTACTGATTAACTCCCCCGTGGGGGCAGACCATGCTTTGTTCACATGGTTTTTGGTTCTGAGCAGTTGGTTTCGGCCAAGGAGAGGAATTTCTGTGTGGTGATGACTGATGATATTAAGTGATGAAGAATGTAACACCCCAATTTAATTTGGATTTTAATTTAGTTTTATTTACATTATTTTGGGGTCCTATTCGTAAGATTTAAGGCCCGTTTTTGAAAACCCTAAAAGTTCAGAAACCTAGCTCGGGATTTTCCCCTTCCTTGTCTGCAAAGATTTTTTTTTGAAAAAAGTAGTTAACACGATTTGAAAACGTGTCCTATAGAAAACAACATGGGAACCTATAGAAATGTTTTAAATCAATAATTAACCCCAAATTTTATTTTGATTCCATCACCAACCATCGATCCACCGTCGTTGTTTGGCCGTCGTGACGTACACCGTCACCACCAATGTGTTTGTCGTCGACTCGTGTTTTAAACCCCTTTAAACCCTCGCTGTAAATCGACGTCGTTAAGCGTGAATCGACATTTGAAGCTTCAACGAAAACTCACGGGTAACCTCGATTTTTGCGGATTTCGTTGATCCCGACGTTGTTTCGTTACACCGCCGTCACTGTTGGACTCTTGGTCTAGTTTCGGTTAGAACCCAACCAATTTTGCTCCTCCCTGTGGCCTCGTAGTCAAATCCATTATTGACCGTCGTGGGTAAGCTTCGAATTACTTTTTTGGTTGTTTTCATCGTGCTTTGGCTGAATATTTGGACTGATTTGAGTTTGTGTTGAGGGAATACTCAGGGAGTGATCAGTCAACTTCAATAGCCTCCGTCGTTGTTACATGTGCCTCCACGCGCCGCCTGGGACCGTGGGCTTCTCGGTTGGCACAGAAAAACCTTTGAACTGGTCTGATTATACACAATAATGAAATCGAACCAGGCTGCCTTAGACAGAACCGATCTGTTTTGAACTGGATCAAACGAATCTAGTCAACTTGCACCGATTTAACTCACGCTGATATAATCTTTTGATTTTGATCAGAGTTGACTTTGACGTTGATCAAAAAATCATTTTTTAAAAATTATATTTTATATTTTTTGATGTCCTGAGTCTAAATCCAAAGTTTATTTCGTCAAATTTGAATCCGATAAGTTATTTTCAGCGTTTATTTTTCGATTCGAATCGTATTCCCGATTAAGTTTTGTTTCTAACGTAATTTGTTTTGCTATGTATCTGAGATATTATGGAATATTAAATTCAAGTTTGAGAGTGATCGAATGAAGACTAAATGGTCGATCGACGTGGCATGAAAAACGAGGTAATATATTATTACTTTTTGCATGCTTTACGAAATATGTTAATATTGGTTATTGCATGAATTAATGACTCGTAAATTATGTATATTTAATTACTACTGGTCTTGAACTGAATACAATATAAAGTTAGTAAACTAGATAAGACTCGGATGACCCATATAAGAAATTGGAAGGCCGAAGATAAATAAATTCAATTTTAGTGATTAATCAACCTGAGAATTTGTTAATTCTAGTTATTTTTGTCAAAGTTAAATACCGAAAATACTTGATGTTTGAATAAGAAATTATGAAATTACCCTTGTGTTGTATAAAGACAAAGAGTGTCTCAAACTAAAAATAACCCTAGAAGCTATAATCGACCTGATAAAACTACTAATTCACATATTAAATGCTTATTTTGCTTGGAAAACTCTTATAATCGATTAAAACTTATGAGATGGTAAAAGGCTTAGAATTCTGATTCTTGAATAACTCCATAAGACTAAATTACCAGAAATAGTATATGTGACATAATTAAGTGAAATGACTAAATTATCATTGAAATAGAAAAATGACCTATAATTTATGCTTCATGAGCGTACACCTGGAGAGTAAATTATCGAAAGTACTTTGTACATTTGAATTATTCGAAATGACTATATCATACGAAAAGCATGAATTAAGTGGAAGTGTTAGATGTATCTGAATTGTTGAAACGACCAATTTATCCTGAAACTTTGAAATGTCAAGGATAACCTCGAGTAGTGAATAACCTAAATCCCCTCATGACCTATAATAAGTGGATACCTTTGGATAATTCTAGAAACACCGATAAATCTAAGTGTTGTACCACCCCTTGAGGTTTGAAGTATGACCCAGGCGAGTCAATCATTTTGGGTACAATTGCAATACAAAAAAATATCATAGGAATACATGTTCGTCCCCTCAAGATCCGTATCTATGGAGACTAGATGGTGATTAGTTCAACTAGCGCAATCAATATTAAGAAGTGAATATTTTGAAGAATATCAATCTAAATGATTAATGAGTTTTGCAATGAATGTATCTGTTTAAATTGTTTAACCCATAATCCTGATAATTCAATATAAATCTTGAATACGTAAATCGTCGTTTTACCTTTATGGGATTAAATTACTATGAATTTTTCAGGAATATAAATGTCCGAAATTCCCCTGATTGCCTGAACAATGGAATCACTCCTATATTTATCTGAAATCTCAAATAACTCTAGTGTAAGGTTCCTGAATACATTTCTGATGCACTTGGAATCATAAATGGTTAATAGTTAAACCCTTTTAATAGGGATATTGTTTCTGAAATCTGATCAATTCACAGAAGTTTCATGTTTCCCTTCCTGATAACTTCCAAGCGCCTCCAGAAAGATATTTGAATCCTCTAGTGTGTTCCTCATGCACATAAGTATTTTCTCTAATTTTAAAAGTATACTCTAATATTTGAAATAAAACATGTTTTTATCTGTAGATTCTGACCTCTGGTTTCTGATACAAGATACATTTGGCATCTGATTTTAATTTTACTGAAACTATCTAAAACTGTTTTACTAGGGTACTTATGGGATGTGAAATGGAGTTCTGCAGGTTCAGCCCCAATCAGGCTGGTAAATTCTTATGGACCTAAGGTGACCCTAGGGTGGGTTCTTAGGCCTAATAGGCCTAGTGGTAAGATCTTATGGACCCTAAGACACTCCCTTAGGGTGGCTCCTTTGCTTTGTGTTTAGGGTAAGTCCTTATGAACATGAGGGAACTCCCTTTAGGTGGCTCTTATGCTTCGGCTAGGTAAGTCCTTGTGGACCCAAGGTAATTCCCTTAGGTTGGCTCCTATGCCCAATGGATATAGGGTAAGCCCTTATGGATGCAGTTCAAGGGAACTGCATATAGAGTGTTTGGTTGGAGGGTATTACTGTGTTTTTAAAAATCTGTTTTAATGAAATAAACTACTATTTCTGGTTTTATTGGAACACACTAGACTCTTCAACTCTATCTTCTAGCTCTGTCTCTCTTATCGTCCCCTCTAAATTGTAAGCTTTCTGATTGTTACTTGAATAATTAATTAGTGAAACCTCAACTCATTACCATGACTTGTTTATGCCTAATAACTAAGGGAGTCGTCATGTTGTACCATATATTTGCTGACCTTCAGCATCTTTTGGTAGTATTGTACTAATGAGTATTCCCAAAGCTCACTCTGTTACTCACCATTTCAGGTTAAAGAATCGATATTGTGCAGTATCGACATCAATATGAGAGTTCTTTCGACGTTGCTTGTAGAATATGATACCCTTATAATTAGGGGGCATGTAGGTCATATTTATTTTTATATTGAGTATGTAACTTACTTTGATGCAATGTATATTTGAATTCTGTTTTGATTGATAAATGTTTTATGAACTTGTACAATTTATTTATAAATTACTTTACAATTTTTAAATGGTTTAAGAAAATTTTAAATTTCTCCGGATTTTTACTATGGATTGCTCCGGTGACCCTAATGTGATACATTGGACCGGATCGAGTCACCCGCTTTGATATTTTTAATACGGTGTGTTTCAAAGAAAATATAATCCATTTTACTACCCATTTTGCTCCAAGAGTATAATCATATTATCTTGGAATTTTTGTTACGTTTTTCAATCTCTAGGGTTCATTAGTACTAGTTTTGTTGATAATCAGTGGTTATGGTATTTTGCTTGGCTTATGATTTCCATATATGGTGAAAATATTGGAATTTTGTTCTCTTTCTCCATTATCCATCCAGCTTGTGACCCCTAAACCAAACCCACCCATCTTAAGATGGCTTTTGTATAATCACCCGGAACACTACCAGAATTTCATCTGTATAAAACACATTGTGCTTACACTATTGAGTCATGTAATTATCCATAAGTGATTTTACAGTATGTTAATTTATGTAACTCTACACGTGTGATATTGTAAATGTTAATTGTCCACAAATCAATCAAATTTACTTCAGATAATATTATTGTCAAAACAACTTGGAAGAAAATTTTGATATCATTTAATTTAGGGATGACAAAAAAAAAGTATAAACAATCAGGTGTGGATAGAAAATCATATAAAATAAAACTTGCCATACTCGTAGTTACAAAGTTGAGACGGTGTACAGTAGTGGTACAACAGTAGAACACCCCACATTTCAAGGATGTCGTCTTCATCCACCGATAGACTCATACAACACCAAAACTCAGTCACCATCGACAAATTTGCTTAAGAAAAATTCAGTTACTCAAAACATGTGCAAAAGCCAAAATCCTATACCTTTTACCATGCGACTTGTGCCCCGCTTTAAATATTAATTTCATATAATTATCCGTATGTAGCTGTTACTAATTCATGTAATCTTTCCCGCACAACAGCATAAATATTTATATAACCGTCCAAATACGATATCATATATATATATTAATTTATGTAACCGTCCACATTCGACACCAGTAAAGGGTGTTTAGAATTCAAATTTCAGTATTTAAAACCTTTTCTTTCTTTCCCTATTCGAAACCGCAGTTTATTGTGTGCAAAAAAGGGCATCTTTCAACAGCTTGCCAGCCTCATTGTATTGTAACCGGATGTGTATGGAAAACCACAAGTAAACTAACTATAAAACTTGCCATTTTTCAAGTTCGAAACTTGAGACAAGGAGTCCACTAGTCGCCGGAGTTGTGAACGGTGTATTTTTTCAGTACATTTAATGAAATTCTAAGGATAAAGAGGCTTAAGCTTTAAGGCTTGCCACTACTAAGAAAGGAAACAACTGCTTGCCTAATGGCCGGAACTGCTAACGGCTTATTTTGTGATTCTAAAACCCATAAAAAAGCTTTTACAGCCATTGAACCTCTTAAGAACTGCCAACTCCGCTTGATGTTGAAGCTCCGTCACAAGTGCGGTTCGGAGGTGAAGCCTCTTCCTCGAGCAGCTTCGCCATCTGTGAAAAGAAGAAACATAGGTGATGTTGTTGAACTTCCATTATATCAGCCGAAAAAATCGAGTGAAAATTAACTCACTTTCAGCTTTTCAATTTTTCGAAGTGCATTGGTAAGAAATTGCTGGTGGTAATGAGCTTCAGCCTCTGAGTGGATCTTTGACGCATCTGGTTTATAAAACCTGCTTTGTTTTAATCATTACAAAGCAGAATAAAGTATGTTTGTCAAACCATCCCGAGTTGTCCCAAACCAGCTATAAACTTGTCGAAAATGATCAAAATTATGAAGAAAAAGGACAATGGAAAATGAAAAACAATGACCTCATCTTCTCTTCAGCTATGTATTTTAGCCTGTTGAGTTCATTGAGTCTACTCTCAAGAGCCTACGAAATTAAAACAGGACAAGATCAGAGTGTTATCTAACTATCATCGTTAGGTAAAGAGCAGCAAGCTATACAGAGTTTTGTTTACCTCCACGCTGAATATGCATTGCATTAGCAACCGATAAACCGTTCATAGGATAAAATAAGAAAAGAATGTTTTGTGAGAAAGAAAGCAAGAAATTAAAAACAAGCATAAACATCTTGTGCCTGTGTGTGTTAGCATGGAAATGTGCATATTTGGAGAGAAAGAGAGAGAGAGAGAGAGAGAGGACATCACACCGATCCATTCTTTCCATCATTTCAGCTTCGAACTTCAAATGCTTCAGGCCTTGGCATAAGAACTGTAAGCACAGGCAACAAAGTGTTATGAAGACAAAAATGATCTCAACAAAGGAGGCAAAGGAAAGAATACTAATAAAGACAGATAGACTACCTCTTCATTTTCGAGAGGCCTGACATAAAGAGCATATTTTGGGGATGAACAAGGCAGATACACATACAAGGAAAAAGATCCTTTAGCTTAGCTATTCGAGAAATCTTTTCTGAAACAAAAATAGAGAAGTTTAACAAAACACACCCATCAGAATCATCACGCTGTTCAATATAACGAAGAAACATATCCTCAACCCTGTAAAAGGCATAACAAAAAGTTTAGCGAAACATCATGGAAAGAACATAAATAACAGTGGCATCAATTTGATATTCTTCACCAACCTTCCCTTGTTAGCATAGCTGGTCAATTCACCTGTAGGAGAAAACATCAGAAGGCCAACATCGGTATTATCAAAATTACATAATTCAGCGGCCTTCTTGAGAATGCTTTCCCTGCTTTTATTATACATCATCTCACGAGAAGAAGGATCAACATTTCTCTTCTTCGGGTGCCTCTTGTAACCCATGGTCAGGGGAAATTGAATACAAAAGTGAAGAAAGAAGAAACTTGTGGTAGGATACTAAGTGAGAACGGCGTTTATAGGACAGTGAAGGAAGAATCTGCATTAATTTTTCGAGCCATGCAATGTGCCAATTGTCAAACATTCCCTCAATGAAAATCACAAAGGATTTTTTTAACTCGATTAAGGCTTCGGAATAAAGTTTTAGGTATTCATGGACTTAATTATGAACATGAAATTAATTTTTGAAAACCTTAAATTAGAAACTAATTAAAGTGAATGAAAACTAATACTGCTAACAGTGGTTTATGCCTTTGATAGAGTCATCAAAGAAGAAGGCAGCAAGAGCATCTTCAAGCCAAAACCAATGGACCGTCATGCTTTGCACCGCATTTCCGTGATGTTCGAATAATTCTAAAAGAAATCCATTATTAATAAGCAGGCATCATTCAGACGTCCAAGAAAGGCCGTGGTCAGTACCAGGAGATTGTAGGCAATACATAACTTTGTAAATCCGTAAAGTAAAATCCCCATAGGAATTTTAAAGTGATATCAAGCAATATAAAATAAAACCTTGAGTTCAAGAAAGAATTTTCTAGGCACTAACATAAGCTAAACCTCCGTTCGATGCAAGATAAATGAGTGCAGTAATAGCCAGATGAATTGTGAAATCTATTGTGCCTGGCTCCAAATAGTCAACTGGAACTCCTGTGATTAGTAGACATACACAAGCTACAAAGGGTTCCACAATTCTAGAATTTCATTTCAGATATTTCATCAACCCATGTAACCTTCGTTGAATGACTTTTTCTTCATAGAATCTGACTATTAAAGCTAACAAACGCTTGATGCAGGAACAATTAAATAGCTTCCATAGCAGGAAGAGAACTCAGCTGTTTAGTTCACCATCTGTTTACTAAATTTACACAGATATTCTTGATGAAGTTATCTATCATAAAGGAAAAATGACGAGTAGCTCACTTGTTTAGAAACTGAGATTGTACATATTTCCTTAACTATACATCAATCGCCCATCAAAATAAAGGATAGCGATTTCTCGTTTAACATATTTCAAATTCAAAGAACAAGGGTTTCATTAGTATAAAACTATGTACTCTCAACATTCCTATATAACATGCAAATTAGACTAAATCGTTGAATGCTTTGTTACCAGAAAACTCCGATTACAAACGTTTCTTCATCAGGGAAACTGTGAAGGCACCCATTTTAAGATTCCCTTTGAGCTTAGTGTCTTCTGTGTCTCGGATGTATCCCCTGCGGCAAAATAATCAACGACTGTGTGGGTTTGGTAAAGATGTTATTTTTCAAGTAAACTCTTTCATGGGTGAGCAGAAGTAGTACTCTACAGTACTTTATAGGCTTAGTGGCTAAACTTTTAATTCTGGTCCTTGAAGTGTAATTGTTTTAATTTATTCACATAATCTTTTGAAATTGTTTCTTTAATCATTAAGCCGTTAGTTTTTTTTTTAAAGTAAGAAGCCATTAGACTCCTGTACATTTTTTAAAGAAAAATCAATATGGTGATCATATTATTTTTCTTTTAAAGTAATTTTTTAACTCAAAAAATAAATTTAATGTGATATTTTAATCAATATTTTTTGTCGTTAATCGTTATAATGCTGACGTGGTGGTCCACAGTGCTAATATGATTGTCCACTATAATTGATGACATAACAGATGAGTTAAATTGATATTTTTAATTTTATTCGAGGGCTAAACTAATTTTTTTTAAAGTAGAAGGCTTATTTAATTTAAAAAATAAAAATTATTTTAAATTATAAATATAAAAGTAATCAAATATTTAAAAATTAAATATAAAAATTATTAAAAATAAAAATTAAATTATTAAAAAAATTAAATATACATATTAAATATATTAAGACTATTAACAAAATTTTTAAAAAAATTATTATATATATAATATGTTATAAAATAATTATTTATAAATTATTAAAAAGTAAATGATATTTAAAAAAAATATTATACGTAATATATATACATGTAATATGTATATATATATTACTTTTTTTTGATAAATATTGAAAGTCTTGTTAAAATTCCCCTTTGTACATATAAATTTACAACTAGGTAAATCAACTAATAGTAGGAAGAAAAGAATAGCTCAAAATATTAAAACTAAAACTGTCAAAGGTACAAATGACACTCAATTAAACTATCAAATCAAAAGAAATTAATCAATTTGTTGTTTCGTCTTATCAATACTTGTACAGATTATTTTTTTAATATTTTTATTTTTATTTTTATATTCAACTTTTTGAATATTTGAATATTTTATATTTAAAATTTAAAATAACATTTATCTTTTAAAAATTTAAATAAACACTTCAACTTAAAAAAATCTAATTTAACTATTGAACAAAAAAAAATTAGCCCATCAATCATATCATCTGCTATCGTAAAATGTTACGTCAACACTATAATAATTAACAAAAGAAAAAAAAATAATTAAAGGGCCACGTCACGTTTATTTTCTAATTTAAAGGGTAAATCAAGAGAAAAAATTAATATGAGGGTCATATTAGAGGAAAAATATAACTTTTATTTTATTTTTTCATGTAAAATCTTAAAGTTTTTCTATGATTATCGTTATAAAGTCACGACGTAATTAGTTTCGAATTTTATTTATTTTTTAATTCTTACCTAAATTGATATCATTATTATATATTAATGTAAAAGTTTTTCAATTAAATTTTATTTTATATTAATAATGTAGTAATAATAATATTTATTTTCGATTAAATCTTAACTCACAATCATAGTTATTGTAACAAATTTTACAAATTAACATATTTTTTGTTTTGAAAGAAAATGTGTTGATTAAAGTCGAGACTTAATGAATGTGTATTATAGCCAATTAACAAATATCATATTTATATATTATTATGTCTAATTCAATATAAAATGCGTAAAATATAAATTTATTATTAATACTTCTTCATTATATAATCATTCATAAGTGACTGTCTACATGGATATATATATCAATTATGTAATCGTTCAAACACAATATTAGAAATATCAAATCCTAAAATATTAATTCATGTAATCGTTCGCATGCAACATCACAGATATTAATTTACAAATAACTGTTCATATACAATATTACGTGTAATCATTAACACGCAACATCGCATATATCAATTTATAAATAATTATTCACACGCAACACAAATATCAATTTATAAATAATACTTTTTTTCCGAAAATGGGTTTTTCTTTTTCTTTTTCTGCAGAATTGTTTTGGAAATGGTGTTTTGTATTATGTAACAGACACATACGTAGGCCTCGTTAAAAAACTTAATCTTAGATGGAGGTAAAAAAAATATATCATGTAAATGTCAATAGGATTGTCAACACAACCTCTAACTGCCACTTTAAAACCAAAGAAAACAACACAATTGGTGCAGTGTAACCTTATATGTGAATCTACTCCTACGACCAGATAAATCGACCAGATACTGTAAAAGTTATCACTTGTGATTGACTGTTAATGTCTATTTTCAGGTTTAATCGATGTGCCTTGAACATTAAATGTATTTGGATATTATAATATTTTTAACTTAAAACTTTTACATTTTCTATCATAATTTATATATAATGTTTAACTTGGTTTAATCCAAATCGAATTAACAAAAAGAATTTATTTGAAAATGACAGAAGTCCAGAAATAAACAAAGGCCACCTTGTTGTTTATGTTGGTGATCAATCTAAAAGGTGCAGTCTATAGTATCAGATTCATTCTTAAAGTACCAGTTATTTCGTGTAGCTTGCCGAACTTGTTGGGTGTGAGTCTCACTATTTGGGAAACCCATCACCAGAAAATGGGTTACAACTTTAAAAATAGGTTGCGACTTAATATGGGGCGCAACTTTAAAAAAATGTTGCGACTTAAAATGGAGTGCAACTAAAAATGGGTTGCAACTTTTAAAAAGCCATGCATTTATTATTTTTGTCTTTTGGCTTTTGTGTAAAAAGTGGTGTGGGTAGCAAAACAAAATCATTTTTGATTTGTGAGAGAGAGGAGCTTCATACGTGAGAAACAAAGGGGGAGAAAACAATTTTTGAAGCTTTGGTGCAATAGTGATCAACTCTTCGATTGGATGTCCATTCGTGGTTTGAGAGAGGAGCTTCATAATGCTCGCACATTAAGGGAAAAGCTTGAAAGCTCGTATGCTTCGAGGTCGGACAATAAAATGTAGTTTTTGCTAAAGAAAATGATGGCATTAAAATACATAGAAGGAATGTCTACAGTTGACCATGTTAGTGAATTTCAGAGTATGATGAATCAGCTGCTTAGTTTTGATGTCAAATTTGATGATGAGATTTTAGGGCTTTGGTTGCTTGCTACTCTACCAGACTCTTGAGAGACTTTTCGGATCTCACTCATTAATTATGCTCCACAGGGTATTATTACTTTGGATTTGGCTAAGAGAGGTATGTTGAATGAAGAGGTTAGAAGAAGGTCTCAATGTTCTACATCACAGTCCGAGGTGTTGGTTACCGAGAACAGGGGGGAGAAATAGAGTCAAAGATGACAAGGTTAGAGATAAAAGCCGAAGCAAGTCAAGATCGAGATACAAGAATCTTGAGTTTCATCATTGTGGTAAGAAAGGTCATATCAAGAAATATTGCTTCAAGTGAAAGAAAGAGAACAAAAACAGTGGTGATAAACACGATTGAAAGGATGATGAAAATCTGAGCGTGTTGCCACATTTACTCGTGACGATAAGTTGGTTATTTGTGATGAGAATTTGGTTAACCTAAAACGTGACAAGACTAGTTGAGTGATTGATACTGGTGCTTCACTTCATGTCCCATCGAGTAGGGATTTATTCACATATTATATGTAGACACCTATTTTCGTCCGGGCCCATTCTGTAGTACATAATGTATTATTTTGAAATTATATAATATGATTTTAAAAACATATAATATAGTTTTGAAAACATACAATATATATATATATATATATATATATATATATATATACATATATGATTTTGAAAATATATAATATGGTTTTGAAAATATATATATATATATATAATATTATATTTGGTTAAAAAGAATTTTTTATTATATTATTATTTATTGTTAATATTATTATTATTGTATTTATTTTCAGGCTAAGTGTCCAAAGTCAGAGTCCAAGAAATCTAAGTTAGGGAAGCCCAGTAGTAAATTCAACTGACCTAGTGAACAAACAACCGGGCCAATTAGTCCAAGTCAAGCAAAGATCCAAGATGGGATAAGTTAGTTGACCCAACAAACCCAGCAAAGAAGAGCTTATTAGAGTTTTGACATTAAGCCATGCGCCATAATCATCAAGACCGTAGGATTGGATTAAGAATCAACGGTTAAGATCAAAAGAAATCTAGGGTTTTAAAACCCTATAAATATGAGACATGTGTCTCCAAATCTATTTCATTGGATCTGACCCAATCCAACAACCAGAAATGATCCCAAGAACATTCTAGAAGCACCATCGAGAAGCCACTAAAAAATGGAAAGAATCA